GGTACCCACAGCTGGATGGTGCCCGTGGGGAGGGGGCTTGGCCCTGCACTGTCACCCCCAGCCCTCAGGTGCTGCCACGGCTCCCCTCAACTACTTGGACTGTTAATGAACTGAAGGTGCCTTCTACTTTTTCCATTTATCTTTTTTTTTTTTCCCATCTTTGTTTTCCCTCCCCATCTTTTTTCTCTCCCATCTTTTGTAGTTTGTCACTGCTATTATTTTTAGTAATTTTAAGGGAATTTTAAGAAGTAGCAATTGGTGGTTGTGGGCAGGAGGATGGCTTTGGCATGACCTTTTTCTACTGGAGCCAGATGTGTGTTGGCTGTCTAGATTATGTGTTTGATTGATTTCCACCCCCCTTGGCAATACCCATTGCAATACTGGATGTGCAGTAAAACCCCTTGTTCTTATTACACATTTTTCCTTTACAGATCAGTGCACCTTTCATATCCCTAATTGCGCTAAGCCAAAAAAATATGGTGTTCCATGAATTTAAAAGATGGGAAAAGGGTTGTTCAGTCAGCTAAGACCAAGGAAATGGCACAGCCTGGGTTCCCTCTCTCTGCCTGGTTAGGAGGGAACCACAGAGCTCACATCACTGTGTGCCTTTTCTGCCATGGGTTTAAACATGGCAGAAAATGTTGGTTTAAACACCTCTGGGCAAGGGTGAGAGGAGCCCTCTCTGAAGGAAGGAACTGAGGAATAATTTGATTGTAGTTACTATTAGATTGTTAGTTATTTGTGGCTATTATTTGATTGTTCATCCTATAAGATAATTGCTAACTGGGTTGCTGTCTGTGAGTTTGAGAAGAACAACTGCCTCCTTCCAGCTGCAGAACCTCTTTGGCTCTAGGAACTTGGTGTTTAATAAGGAAAGGGGTTTATGGCTGGCAGAATGTGTAGGAATTCCTCCTGGGCAGTGCCCTGTGTGTGGGTTTTCACCACCATATCTCAGTTAATGATAAGTGTAGTGTGGAACATATTGGTTCCTGTGAGGGCTCTGGCCTTGACCATGTTAATTAAATCTCACATAAATGGTAACCAGATGACATGCTTGTCTGCAGAATTAAGAACAAATTATATGGACCATAATTGAGATTTTTTACATTTGTAACCAGCTTGCAATTCCAAGCAGTTCTTTGGTGTAATTCTGTGATAGGATTTCTGAGTTAGGACAGTGATATGAAGCCAAATTCCAGGCATTAGATATTTTCTTCTCAAAGAAATCAGGTGTAAATTCAGTAAAATCAATTTTACTGACTAGGACATTTCTGAAGTAGCTAAATGTGGTAGAAGGTCTTGTTTCCCTCTGTCTGAATAACTGCTGCATTTGTATGAACCTTTATCAGAAGCATTTTAATGCTGCAGGAGCTGGCATTTCCAGTGGACCTGCCAAGAGAGGAATCCCCTCCTCTGAGGCAGCACAAATCAAATTAGCAAGGACTGAGTTCTTTCTTCTAATTGTAGGAGTTCTGTCAAACCTGTTTAATACTGAGATACAGCTGACCCACTTGTGTTTGGCACATGTCAGTGACCAGAAAAAAGCACAAGGTTCATCCATTGTTTCAGTTTTCAGCTTTGGTTTGTTAAAAAGCTAACCAAGTGTTCATTATTTTTTTTATCTGGACTGTTTTTTCAGTATTTTTTATGTGTACTGAAAGGATATATAAAAGGGTCGAGTCCAATATGAAAGGAAAGGGGTTGAGTTTCCTTTTATATATTTATACGTGATTAAAAAATCCTACTGCAGTTTCCATCATAGCTGAGACTTAAAATTGTCCTTAAAGGTTTGTAAATTAAGGTATTTATAAGAAGAAAAAGAAAGGGAGTATTTCCTTGGCAAATTACGTGTCTTGGATGTTACTGTGACATTGTTAATAACTGAGTGCCATTAAATTAATGATAAATTTGCACATTGAATGGATGTGAGGCTTGCGAGGAGGGATGTCAGGGTTGGTCAGGGGATGTCAGGGTTGGAAGCACTGATCAGCGCTGTAGGACCAAACTGCATACAAATTAATGATAAATTTGCACATTGAATGGATGTGAGGCTTGTGAGGAGGGAGCTGGTCAAGACTGGAAAGCAATGATAAGTGCTGTAGGACCAGAACTGCATACGAAGTCTGAGCTCTGGGGCCCTGGGAATGTCCTGCTTTTAACTGGGCTGCAACAACTGGTCTGAAAAACTGTGGTGAGGGTGACTCTGTGAGTGGAAAAACGTTACTGTTGGATTCTGGCTTTTTTTCACGTGGATTTTTCACATGCTATCATTTCACAAGCATTTGGGTAGAGGCATGATGAGATGTCCTCGTGTCTCCTGTGCTGTTACTCTTTAGGAGTGCAAAGAAGGATTCTTTTAAAAAAAGTCTCTCCAAAACCATTGTGTGGGAGTTTAAAGTGACTTTTTGGCAGAGTATATTCTAGTTGATATTAGCAAATCCGAGTGCAGGCAGGACACAACCCCCTCTTGTCAGGGAGATTCTTGTGTTGGCACAAAAGATGAGGCCAAAGGCTCTGAAAGCAGGGGTTGGGTCTCCTTTAATCTGTGCCTGGATGTTCAGGGCCATGAAGTGAGCACTCCTGTGTGTGACAGTCGCATAGCTGGGGACTCTTCCAGAGCTGCCACTGGAGAGCTCTGTCCCAGCAACCCCCAGCATTTCAATTCTCATTTCCAGCCTGATGTCTGTGTCTGCTCAGCACCCCTCTGGGCAGAGCATCACTTTGGGGAAATGCTGTGGCAATTTCTATACCCACGGGAGAAAGAACTAATCAAAGTTCAGCATGGCTAAAACCAGGCAATCATATTCTTCAGTTTAGCATAAGAGTTAAAACAGCACAGCTTTCTACAGTTTTACAGAATTTTTTTTTTTTTTTTAACCCCAAGGTTCTAAGAAATTGAGGTTTAATCTGGCTGTAACTGTAGGAGATGAGAGGAAGAAATAGTTTGGCACAGAACAACCTCTGAATTTACCAACATCTGCACAAGGGCTGTGGCTTTTGCCCTCTCTCCTGTGTTTTCTTGTTAGGCTTTTTTGTCAGCAGGAAATGGGAAATACTCATTAAAATATGAAATGATTGAAAGAATGTGTCTTTGAGTACATTTTAGGTTTTAATTTTTCATGACTGATTTCAGCTGTTAAAACCAGGCTCTTTCTCTCCTAACTTGACTCCAGCTGTTAAAATACCAGTTTATAACAGGCATTTCTGGTGTTCCTTCTTACTGGCATGAGCTTGAATTTTGAACCACTGTATTTCTTACTTTTAAATACCATTTCATGATAGACTCCTGACTTCCAAATGATTACTGGGTAATAATATTGTACACAGCCTGTTTCCTCCTCTCTGTAGCCTTATAACTAGTCAGTGGCCAGGGGCAAATGACCTGTTTTTCAAGTTTTGGCAGCCACTGGAATGATGCTGGTCTCTGTATTACTGGATCAATGCCTGGAGGAGCTGTTTGGAGCCTGTAATTTGCTGACATGACATAATTTTTTCCCCCCATTATCGCATGATTTAAAACCCCTCCAGCACAGCAATTTAAAGCAGTTTTATTCTCGAAATATCTTACATAAGGAAAAGAAAAAACCAGATTACATTGTTCCAAGATTATTGTGCATTTTTTGATTAATTCTGTCAAATACATTTGTGTGCCACTGGGTTTATTAAAATTTTTTTCTGAAAATATGTATCAGTTTGCTCCAGGAGATGTAGATTTTTGTATAACATTGCAGAGAATCAATCTGGCACAGCTGGTGAGTTTTTGCTGTGTATGTGGTAAACATAAATGAGGCCAGGGTAGCTTTTGTTTTGTGCAGGTCATTTTTTTGCATGAATATACAATATGCTCCATGCATACAATAGATCTAAATAAATACTTATTCCCAACTTGGAGGGCATCTGCACCACATACTAGGTTTTTTTGATGGAATGCACTGGGCTCCTCAAGACCTATTCATTTCAATCAAGGCCAGTGGCAGTAATCTCTTGGTGCAATGTCAATCTCAATTATAGTGGGGACAACACAGTGAAATTGAAGTATGATTTTGGGTAGATACATGTCAAATAACTTAACTTGACATTTGACCTAAATAGAAATACATATTCATGATGAATGGATTTGAAAGTATTAGGATTCAAAGCAGTACAGTGATATTGAATAGTAGTAGATCTGTAATCAAAATACTGGAAAATCTGTTATTGAAACTATTTTTAAAAGTAATATTTTAGGTATTTTAATTTCTAAAACCAAATTATTCTGGAAATAATGTGGAGTTCTGTCCCTTTTCATATACTGTGAAAAGACTCCCTAATTGTTTATTTGCCATCAGGGTGAGAGAGATATTGTGATTCAGAGCACCTCGAGACTGTTGAAGTAGATTGATTATTTTCAACATACTTTTAGTCACTGTAATTATGATCTCTGCAACACACTGAGTATGGTATGAACTATCAGATCCTCTAATTAGAGTAGAGAAATACTGTTTAGAAGTTGCAATCTAAGAAGGTGAAAAGTAGCCCAGTGCAAGTGTGGTGGGAGATGGCAGCTTAAAATAATGTCTGGATGCATTTATAATAATGTTACACGTGTAAACAGAAATGTGTTGTCCCACTGTCTGTAGACATCAGGTTCTCTGCCTTTACAAACTCAAGGTGCACCTTGAAATGTGTGTCTCAAGCCAAGAGTTGGATAAGAAGAACCATCTGTATTATCAGTGTGATACTGCAGAGCGCAGTAAATCTCACGTTGTCACAGATGCATTCTTCAAGCTTAAACAAATTTTGAAATTTGGTTTCAAATTTTTTTTTTTTAACTGGTTAATTATTATATTTGCTGAGTTTGATAAACTTTTTGACACCTTTGTGCCTTATCTTAAGGTATTTTGTTTCCCCCTTCTCTGGGATATATAATTTGGCCAGAGATAGGGATCCACTTTGCAGTGCACGAACAGCAAAGACCTGAGCTCCAGGACTTCTTTACAAAACTATGGTCCTTAGCTGTGATGTATCATCATGACCTCCTGTTCTTCTTTTTGTCACCAGGATCTGTTTTTACCCTAAAAGTTCAAGTAAATGACGTCATCAGCCATCAGTACCTGCGACAAGCGGTGGTAGAGGTGTTTGTTAACTACAGCCTGACAAATTCTACTCTTACTGGGAACAATGGAGCAGTGCTGGTAAAAGTCCCCTACAAATTGGGATTAAGCCTAACTATTGTCTCATACAAGGATGGCTACCTGCTGACACCTTTGCCTTGGAAGACTGCGAGAATGCCAAGTACGTAAGCGTCTTATGGTCCTATTATTAAACTCTCTCTGGCAGTAATTAAATTTCTCTCCTAAGCTGTCTGGGTAGTTGCTGTCAGCTGAACACAACGCAGTGAAGTCAGTCAAGGGAGATGGTGCCTGTCAATGCAGATCTAAGGGTGAACGGTCTGTTAAACTTGTCAAAATTCTGATTACTCTAAAGCAGAAAATAGCCCTCTTAAAAACTAAGTGGGTTATGTTGTGACACACAGTGATTTCTTAGATTTTTTTTGCCTAGGGTTAGCAAAGAGCTGTTAATGTGTCCTGACAAAAATCCTGTTGACCTGAGTAATTCTTGGGATGCCAATGGTTTTTTCCTCTAAGCAGATATAACCTGTTACAGCTCTGCTTCAGCTGTGTTTCCTCACAGGTTTTCTTGTTTAACTACTGCATGATCCTAAAAAGGCACAGGATTTTTTTAAAAAAAGAGACATTTTAAGTCACTCTCTAGTGACTTTCTAGTCACTTGTTTATCCATATGTATAAAACAGTAGCAAACATTCAACAGAGATCTTTCTGCCTAAACACTAATATATCTGCTCTGTATAATAGGAGTAACTTATTTAGTCTTCATATGCTCTCTGGTTTATTAACTGCTCTCAAAAGATCAAAAGATCTTTAGATTTGGAGACCTTGGGGGATTTTTTTTTTTGGTTGCACAGTGTAATAACAGATATTATCATTTTCCACAGTCTACTCGTCCGTGACGCTCTCATTATTCCCACAAAGTCAAGCTAATATATGGCTGTTTGAAGATACTGTCTTAATTACTGGGAAACTGTCTGGTAAGTTCTGTGCATGCAGACTGTAACTAAACACTTTGTGATAGCCATCTGCACCCACATGTTAAAAAAATTCTGCATCATCTTATTCTCATATAATACCTATCTACTTAAAGCCAGATTTTCTGGCTTAATTATGTAGCTGTACGAGGGGCTGTGACAAGTGCTAGACTGGAAATACACAAATCATGGAGAAAATGGGTGAAAACAGGTTATTATGTTAAGTGGATTTCTGAAGGGTAATAAAAACAGTTTGTCTGTTTTACTGTGACTAAGACAAAATATTACTCTTTTACAGATGCCAGATCTCAACCGAGTGTTCAGTTTCCAAAATCTTTAATGAAGCTTCCAACAAATCACATTGCAAATGTTACAGCCTATCTGACAGTGCCAGAGCAATTTTTGAAAGTGGACAGCTTTCTCTATACAACAGGAATTATTCTAAATAAATCAGGTATGTGAATATGATGCTTAGGAATTCTTATAAAGAAAGATTATAATATTATAATGCATATGAGTGCACAGTGTTTCAGAAAAACATATGCTTAATTTAAGAGGGCCTGAACCTGCTTCCATTGTAGTAGATCAGAAAGCTTTGTTGCTCATAGCTCTCAGAAGTGAGCTATGAACACATCGGGTTTGTAATCAGTGTTACTCTATTTTGGGCCACGCAGCATGAGAACATATCTTGCTGCACTGAAATACAACTTCAGAATCTGCTTTTTACATTTTTATGTATGTATATGTATTTATGCTCAGGGTTTCATGAGACTGTGGAACTGGTTTAGCAAACACTTCAAAAAAGCAATTATAGCCAGACTGTACAGCAGGTCAAGCTAAAGAAATCAGTGAAACAGCAGCAGTTAATTTCAGCTGTGGAGTTCCTGCATTTTCACTGGGGTGATTGGTTCTGGGGGTTACCTCCAGCACAAAGATTGCATGGAAGCCCCTGCTGGGCTCACAGTCAGTCAGGATGGGCAAGTCTGGGACCAAGTGGTTCCTGTGTGTACAGAGCACAGCTGTAATAATGTTTTCTGTGCATCTGTTTCACTGGAGAAGCACTAAGTGGTTTCATGAGTCGTAACTCTGCTCTTATACCACTGGATTTTGTTAGTATCTGTCATTCTATCAGATGGTTTTTAAATTTGTATAGGTACAGTGATCTCTGGTAGGTTGTAGTGTGTGCAGTTCCATCTTTCTTTTGTTCTTTTCTTTCTATTCCCAGTGGCTCTGAAGCCATGAGGCTCTTAAATTCATTGTGGTGCAGGGAGAGGGCACTACATGGCTTATTTCAAGTCATCATACCCTATTCTTTGATTTTCATTCCATTAATGGCAGCATATATACTGATATTTTGACAAAGATATTTTAAAATCTTTCTTATCTGTGTTTCACCTCTTTAAATGGAAGGCAGAAGGAAAGAAGCAGAGAAGAATAAGCAGTGTTTATCCTCTTTGAGTTTTCCCTTCAATCTGTCTGGCATGTGTTTTAAATTATTCATATACCCCTAAAGGAATAGGCTTCCTTTTAGGGCAGGTGGAAGCTAATTGATATCTGATGTGCCAGGAGTTCTCTCACAACCAGCTTCTAACAGCCTGCATAGATTTAACATCATTCTGCTACTTAGTAATTCTGTTTCAGCTTCTCTCACCATCCTGTCATACTGGGCATTCTGGAGCATTTGCAAACTGGTGAAAGGAAAACAAAGGAAAGAAACTTTCAGGCTGCCTTGTAAATGCAACATTTCCTCTGAGTGCTTTGACAAGCCTCATGATTAACTATTCAGTTAATTCTGGCTGCCAAATTAGGAAATTAATTCTTACAGGAGAGGTTCCATATGCTTTCAGTTTCATTCAATGTTATGCATATTGTGATTATACCAAATTTCCTGTATGATCTGTATTTCACATCAGTTAGGGGCTTTGTAATCTGATGATCTGAGCAGAAAAACCCTTCTTCCCCCACCCCAAAACAAGTTTTGCCTCACAGTTAGTTCTGTGGTCAGCACATAATCCAGATGTTGCAAATGTGCTTCTCTCATAGCATTGGTATAGAAATGACTCGGATTTGTTTTAATCATAAGTTGATAAAAGTTCAGAAGAAAAGTAATGTTGATTTTTATTTGACCCAGTTGGTAACAGCTGACTGTGGAGCTGGATGTGGATGAGGACTTGCCTGTAGTAGCTTAATTCTTAATGTATTTCTTTTAAAATAAACTGTAAAAGGAGAATTAAAAGATATTTCTTGCCTTCAGGTTTCAAAAGCATGGAATTAACTCCTATTGCTGCCATATGTGCAAATGTTCTTTTGGCTGGGAAAGAACTGAACATAAAGGGTCCCATTCAGATTACACTTCCTCTTCCCACAACTACTGTAAAATCAGGAGATGCTGTACCTGCCTGGACATTTGATATGAAAATTGGTAAGTGGGTTATTTGTTATTTTTTCCATCTAGCACATGCCTGTGGGTTTGGGCACATGGCACTGTGGGTCATGGAACAGTGATGGCATTATTCTGTGAGGTGATGGTCAATAGGTGGTCATTTATTTTAATGGACTAGCTTGAATTGTTCAAAGGTATTTCCCTGCTTTCATTAGTTCAAAAAGCTTTGGTAAAATTCCTTAGCCTTCCTCTTGCCTGCATTTAGTGTACTGGATTTTTATTTTCATGGGAGAACATATATTTTAGTTGATGTTAAATTTCAAGCCTAGTAATTTTGTGAATTCCTTCTTATAAGAAAGCAAACCAGAACCGAAAGTTTGGATGCTTTGTCTCCTAGAGTGTAGCTCTAAAGATCTTTTGATGCTAGAACTGGAATAGATATTGCTTCAGTTAACAAAAACAATTCAGAAAGTGAAATGAAGGGGAAATGAGAGTTATCCAAGGGAACAACATAGTTCTTCCAGTATGCAAAGAGGAGGAGGCTGGGGATTAGGCATTCTAAACCTTTTGTCATCCCTTCACATCTAATTTTAGTCAGGAGTGAGTAATGAGCTATGTCCATGTAACCCATTTAGCTGACCTGTATTAGGTGTGGGTGCATTAGTGTCCTGATTGTCCTGCACTGCACCTCACAGTCACCATCACACCTGAAATATGAGTATACATTGAATATACAGGCTTGAAATATGCAAGTGAGTGAGGTCACATCTTGCTCCTTATCAAGGCAAAAAGCTTTTGTTCAGTGTTTGGAAGTACAGGAGAGGGATACCAGCTCTAACAAAGTGTTGTTTACATGGTCAAGAAAGAAACTGATCACCTTAAGGAAAAAAAACCTGAAGAACATGGATTTGAATTAAGGATGTGCTAATAAAATTTGGCTAGGCTGTCTTGTGGGGAAAAAGTAAATAGGATAAGTTTTGGCATAGAGGATTCGGTCTGTCTATACACCTAGAAGACTTTAGAGGGGTAATTGGTGGAAAGAGATGGCATTTCAGAGGGTTTTAGTCTCAGGTGGTAAAATATCACCCAGGGTTTAAATTTCTTATTTCCACAGCCACTTTTGCCAGCTCCTGTGCTCATCCTGTGCTGAGCTTTTTTACCTCCCTAAACAAAGCTAAATCAACACTGTTGTTAAACAAGGAGTTGACAGAACTGGAGCAGCACAGGATGAGGTTAGGATATAAACCAGTGTAAGGTGTTTATGTGGGGGTTGAAGGTCCTACTCAGCATCTCTACATGGGCATGTTGGCTTTGGGAGTAAAACAGGAGCCAGGAGCATGGCCTGCTGATCCAAACCCCAACAAAACCAGTTGTTTCTTCCTCTCCAATGGGATGGACTTTACAGAGATTCCATAAAGGTAAGCTGTTTCTAATGGATGCTCTCTGAGGTGTACTGTTCACTGCTGCTTGCTGAGGAGAGGGACAGAAGGATGGTGAAAAAGGACAGCAACTTTTGGGATATAAATTAACTTGTACTTTTTCTCCCATTTCTTTCCCTCTGACAGTAAAAATTTGCAACTGTCTTTGCTTTCTGGATGTTGATTCTAAGTATGTTGCTTTTATTTTTTTACCTTTGTTCTGACACACGCAAAATGACTTTTTCCCAAGGTAACTGAGTAATAGCAAGGCATGTTTTAGTCAAGGTTCTGGTGACTGAGGGTAGCTGAACACCTCAGCTCTGCAGCAGGCATTGCAGAGCATCCATACGGAGCAGCAGGCTCCCATCCGAGCTGAATGCAGAGCTCCTGCTGCACTCGGTAATGAGCTCTGGCCTCCAAGATGCTGCATGTGGGATCTCCCCAGCAAGACACTGACACAATTTTTAACTCTGAAGTCCTTGGGTAATGTGTTATGATGGTAATCAGGGCTCCCATGTCAGCATTGATAGTGGCAAGGGAACAGCTCTGTGTGTGCTGTGGGCAGACCCACATGCAGCAGGAAAAAGATAGAATCTGCTTTCACAGGTCTGCCTGAGCAGTGCTCCTGGGGCTTACTCCAAGCGGAGTACTGAGACTTCCTGGAAAATGAGCTTTGGTAATTGTACTCAGCTGCTGTAAATGCACAGTTTGTTCATCTGTATTGAGTGTGGCTTCCTTCTTAGGAAATATTTTGCTGCATTAATGCTAAAAGTACTTTGTGGATTTTAATAGAATTACAAAAAATACAAAGCTTGCATTCAACATTAAATTGAAAATTATATCCTTCTGCTTGAATGGCAGTAAACCATAGAGAAAATGGGCTTACTCATGAATCACAATTTACTATTTTTCCTTAATACCAAGTATTTTCTGTGTAGTATATTGGGGGAAGATGTAATTTGCTGAAAAGGATAGCAAACATTGTATAGCTTCTTATGGATTTGTTCAGTCAAGATAGAACTTCTGGAGATCCAGACCATTTTTTTGCCTTTTATACAAGGTTTGCTGGTATTACTTCTGACTCTGGACAAGATTTCTCAGGTGGCTAAGAAAGCACTTTGAGAGCTCTAGGTCACTGCTGCTGCCTTTCCCCTCTGCCAGCCGTCACAAGCACCAAGAGAAGAGTGATGCTTTATTTTCTCTGCATCTGTGGCAGGTGTCCATCCTCATCTTTACCTCCTGGCTGGGACATATTTACTTTTCCTTTGCTGAAAGAAGGGTCCTGGAAGAAAATCAAATTGAAATTCATATAAGCTTACATGAGTTATACTGTTTCCATACTTTAATTAGTGATGTTTTAAAAAAGCTGGTGGTTCTCTCTACCTCTCAGTATTTCCAGGTTGAATATATAGGGTTGGTTACATGAGGCTGTTTTCTGTCCTTAGAATTTCAAAAATGGCCCACAATAAACATATTTAAGTGAATTAAGTGTAGTTCTCTTTCTTCTAATGGATGCTTTATTAATTGCAGAAGCTGGCATACCACAATACCTTTCTGTTGCCTTGCCAAACAGATGGTGTGGAATCTGTGTCCTAACAATAGCATTTCCTTGGGCTAACTGAACTGTTACAGCCTCGGGGCAGGGAGGAGGAGAGAAGCATCCAAGACAAACATTGTTTATCCTATTGTGGCTTAATAAGATTAAAATGTTTTCCCACTAAGTTCTGCTAGCTGATGTTAAACTTGTGTTCATATGCATCAGTTACCTGCTCCCTCGTTTTTTAGTCTTTGCTTTCATGCATGCTGAAGGTTGTATAATAGGTTTTATTTATGTGCATATCTGTGAAAGACAGTTATTAATAGAAAATGAATCATATTAAGTTTACTTCTAGTGAGTAATGTTGATGCTTTGTTTCAAAGTAAATGGCTACAGACGGATGTCAGGAGAGGAAGTTTGCCTGTTTAGCTAAAGCTGTGTAATAAACAGTGGCTGTGAGAAGTTGCAGTTTTTCCTGTGACCTTGTATATCTTTGATAGTGGCCCAGTTGCTAGTGGTTTGAGGTACAGAAGAATCCTGCATGGCATGTGCAATGTTTTGTCCTTTTTTTTCCCCCCAGGTGCTTGGGTAAACCGTGGGCTAGGAATGGTGAAGGAACTGGAAGGCCAGTTAGTATGGACATACACTGCTCAGCACTTGGGCTACTGGATAGCAGCTCCACTGCCTGGAACAAGAGGTATGGCAACAACTGGCCAAGTGACTGCTGAATGCTCCATAAGGCTGTCAGTTTGATTGCTTCATTTAACAGCAGGAAGGGAGAAGTGACATGCAACTTCTCCACTTGGATAACTTTTGTTTGAGTCCTTACAGCGATTTTCTTGCATGTTTTGTAAATTCACATGAAGGGATCTATCAGAGAAACAGTGTGGCTAATTGCAGAAACAGACAGTGCTCTCCAACAGAGTGCTAGGTAGAAAATGTAGACCACTTTTCTAAGTTAGTTTGGACAATTAATACAAATATAATTTGTCTGGAATGAAGTAGATGTCATGGTAAGCCTTTAGTATTCAAGATGAACATGTCATTTTCACCTATCCTGCTGAAACAGCAAGGTGAAGAGGGAAGGCTGAACATTATGCCATTGGAACACAAAATCACTGGAAAAGTACTGTTCAGTTTATTAGCTGTGCACATCAAGTGGAATAATTTGGTTTTAAGAACTAATGCTTGTCTGGTTTTGTTTGATAATCTAGAATCCATTATTAGTGCTGTTTCCAAGGACATAACAGCGTATCACACCGTGTTCCTTACGGCCATACTGGGAGGAACTGTTGTCATTATCATTGGATTTTTTGCTGTTCTTCTTTGTTACTGCAGGTAAGCAAAAGAAGTTCCAGTGAGCTCATTGTGAGTGGAATTTGAGGTTGATAAAACAGTCTTTTGAGGTTAAGACCTGTTTTCTTAGCTAAACTGTAACATTTAGCCTAATATTTTTTTTAAAATTATAGTTGTTACAGAACTTCATTTTAAGTTTGTGATGTCAAATTACATTACAACTTCTCAACCAAAGTCTAACCTTCAGCTTTGGTAGTCAACAATCCAGTATTTCCTAATATGCTCTGCAGTCACCTTGCTTCTTTTTTGCATAGGGATAAATGTCGTCGGACACAGAAGAAGGAAAAAAACTCAACCAAGCTGGAGGTCATAAAAAAAGACCAGACAACGTCAACAACTCACATAAATCACATCAGTGCTGTCAAAGGGTCTCTGAAGCTGGAGGATAAATCCCAGTTATATACACCGAAGATTTCTTCATACAGCCCTCAAAGGAGGCTGTCCATAGACACAGAAGATGGAAAATCACAAGACAATTTTAAAATCTACTCAGAGGATGCTTCTTATCAGTCATCCTGTCAGACTGGTCAGGCAGGAAATTCAGCCCATTCAGTGGAGCCTAGTGCTGGAGTGAGGCTTTTACAGCAGCCAAAGCACAGTAACAGTACTGTTTCCCAGGCTCCTAGGGACATTCCAGACCAAAATAGGTACCTTTCACTGAAAGAGGAGATGTATGGGCTTTCCCATATCCCAGAACATTTAATGCATATTTACAATCAGCCCATTGCTATTCTTCAAACCTCAGACCTTTTCCACTCCCCAGAACAACTGCATCCTGCTAAATCAGCAACTTTGCCAAGGAAAGGGCAGCTGGTGTATGGCCCCATGATGGAACCCATGAATCGGGACACTTACATGCAAACACTGCCCAAAATGCCAGTGCACTCTCATCCCCAGCCTTCTGCCTGCAGAGATGAGAACAGTGCCCTGGATGGTGAAGAGGGCTTGCCCTCCCAAACAACCAACTGGGGCCGGTACACTAACAGCTTACTGGAATCTGTCTCTGTTCCTGGGACACTGAACGAAGCAGTTGTAATGACTCCATTTTCATCCGAACTTCAAGGGATTTCAGAGCAAACGCTGCTGGAGCTCTCTAAAGGAAAACCATCTCCGCATCCTCGAGCATGGTTTGTGTCCTTGGATGGGAAGCCAATTGCTCAAGTGAGGCATTCTTTCATAGATCTGAAAAAGGGCAAAAAAACTGAGAGTAATGATACCAGTCTGGACTCTGGTGTGGACATGAATGAGCATCATCCTAACAGGAAACTGGAGAGAGAGAAAACTTTCATTAAAAGTATGCCACATTCTAAGATTCTTTACTTGGAAGATCTGGATCTGAGTAGCAGTGAAAGTGGGACCACAGTTTGCACTCCAGAGGACCAGGCTGTGAGACACATTATAGAAGGAGGGAAAGGGTCAGTCCTAGAACAACATAATGAGGAAGGTCTAAGGAAAAAATCTCTACCAGGAAGTCATGAATCTGGTATCCCTTCTGCTAAAATAAGGGATAGACCACCTCTCATGAAAAGGGATAGCAAAACCAATATCTGGAAGAAAAGAGAGGAGAGGCCGCTTATTCCTATAAATTAAAACACAATGTGCTTTGTGCTGTTGCTCTCCCTGCTGGTTGTTGATCTCTTGCCTGCTTCTGTAATTCTGCAGTGTTGGGTTTACAAGGGAAATGTTGTTTTCTAGTATCAAGAAAAGTTTCATTTTTTAGCATACAGATTGAGGTACCACTTCAGCTGGGCAACTGATAGTCCATGTGAATTGAAAACAGGGAAATGCTACTATTAAACTTTTCCAGTTCCTAATTTTACTGGCAGTATGAGGAAGGCCCACATTTTACTTAGCCTGTCATTCTTGGACACACCTTTGGGAATGCACAGTGAGAAATGTAGGCACATGATTTAGTTTTTTTGTACTTGTTGCTAATGCAATGGTAGCCTAGTTAAAGCCATTCCTAGCCTTGTTCCTAATCAACATGACCATCTGTACAGTATTTTATATGTGAACTTTTCTAGCTGTCTGTTATTACTTCTTTGTACAATGAGAAATGTTTCATCCATTGGTCCCTCGACACCAGCAGATGAGCTCTGTTGGATTTATCAGCAGAGCTCTATAGCATTACCGCCCTCCCTGTGTGCCCATCCATGTGCAATTCCATACAACACTGGGAGAAGGGGAAGTGTACAAGTGTGGCCACTGCACTTCATGGTCCCCACTATCTTAAGGTGTTGCCCATCTTCTTTGTGTAGACCTGCTTTGTCATGGCCCGTGGATGTTGAAGACTGGCATGGGCTATGAAGGGTGCACGTCCAGCAGAACCGGACTGGTTCTGGTAGCATTTGGAGCTGCAGCTACTCCTGATCCCAGTGTCTTGTTTTGGCTTCTTTGTCAGTGAACATCATCTCTTCTGTATGCTGTTGGGCCAGCTGTGCTCCAGAATACAGCCTTGAATCTCTGCCTGTTTCTAAGTGAGAGCTTGGCCCATGATGGAGAAGTGTGCAAGATTAGACAAATTATGCCTTGGAAAGAGTTTCTTGAGCAGGAAAGCTCGGCACCGTTGCTTTTTATTTCATGTTTAAAACAATGAGAGATCATTTGAGGTTTATGTGCCTACATTTTGCCAGCCTGAGCTGCTTTTGTCTAGGTTTGCAGAGGAGTTAAACAGGCTTTAAAAGTTCGGGGGGAGGGTTATGAGCATGAGACAGCAGATTGCAAAATTTGGTCTATAATGCAATATAAATACTATTTATGACTCATCTTAGAGTTAAATTTACCAAAAGTCATGAATGCATGAATTGTAACTAAGATATGTATAGAGGAAGGAAAGGCCATCAGAATATTCATTAATTTCAATGTTCATCTTGTCAAAGTGATCATTTCAACTTTGGCTAACAGAAAAATGGATGCATCTCTTAATGTGCTTCATATAGTAAACAGAATGTATTTCTGTGACTTTGAGGCTGTTTCCCTGGTGAAATAAGTTCCAGCATTTTGGCTTTGGCAGTTTGATTATAAATCATCCTAAAAAAGCTTTATAAATATTTACCTTAGAGCTTGGTTAAGGGTCTGTACCAAGACCCAAACATGCAATGCCTATATTTGAATTGTGAGGTGAGTGGTGCTTGGTTGTCTGCCCTGTAGTACACTCAAGAGTTGGGAAGTATCCTATGCAGCTGGGCTTCTGGGAATATTTACTCAGGAAATATTACTGTGAATTATGTCTGTGGTGTTGGGATTGTCAGTTGTCTGGTGCTTTTCTAAAGAATATGGAAGGTAACAAGGATGGTACCAGGAATGCATCAGTCCAAATTGAGCATTTGCTTCATGAACAAAATGTTCCTATTGAATTCACAAGTAAGAAAGTGCAAATTAAGCTTGAGATAGGTGTGTGTGTGGTGGGTTGACCTTGGCTGGATGCCAGGTGCCTATCAAGCTTCTCTATCGCTCCCCTTTCCCAGCTGGACAGGGGAGAGAAAATAAGATGGAAAACAACTCCTGGATTGAGATTTCGCTAAGGCAAAAGCAAATGTTTTCATGTGCACAAAGAGGAAAAAAAAAATAGGTTTGTTCTCTACTTCTCATCAGCAAGCAATGTGTGGCTGCTTCCTGGGAATCAGGGCTTCAACACTTATAGTGGTTGCTCCAGAAGGCAAACCTTGTAAGTAACAAATACCCCCCACCTCCTCCTCCTTTCCTTAGTTTTTATATCTGAGCTGATGTCACATGGCATGGAATATCCCTTTGGTTAATTTGGGTCAGCTGGCTTAGTTGTGTCCCCTGCTACGATCTTGCCCACCCCCAGCCTGCTATTTGGCAGGGAATGTTGGGAGTCAGCACTGATGCTGTGCAAGCCCTGACCAGCAGTAGTCAAAACACTGGTGTGTTATCAGCACCTTTCCAGCTCCCAGTACAAAGCACAGCACTGGGAAGGCTGCTATGGGGAATGAACTCCAGCTCAGCCACACCCAATATCCATGAGCATCATCATCACAGGTGGGAATCTCACTCCTGTGCCTGCAGCACCTGCTTCCCCTCCTTCAGCACTGACCTTGGTGTCTGCAGAGTTGTTCCTCTTACATGTTCTCACCCTGCTCTTCTCTGGCCACCTGCACAGTAACTTCTTTTCCCTCTCAAATCTGTTATCACCATCATTTCTGACTGGCCCAACCTTGGTCAGCAGCGGCTCTGTCCTGGAGCTGCTGGCATTGGCACTACTGGACATCAAGGAAGCTTCTGGCAGCTTCTCACCCCTGTAGACCCCCCACTATCAAAACCTGGCCACCCAAACCCAATTCACATGGTGAATCAACTGTGTCCCTGCAACCCATGGAGTGCAGATATCCACCTGCAGCCTGTGGAGGGTACCTGAAAGAGGCTGTGAGCCCATGGGAAACTGTGCTGCAGCAAGCTCCTGGCAGGAGCTGTGGAGAGAAGAGCCCCAGCAGCAAGTATCCTGGAAATACTGGTGGGCCTGTGGGGGACTCAGACTGGAGGCAGGCTGTGCCTGAAGGACTGCACCCTGTGGAAGGGTGAGCCACGTTGGAGCAGTTTGTGGAGAACTGTTGCCCTTGAGAAGGACTCAAGTTGGAGAAGTTCATGGAGAGCAGCCTCCTGTGGGAGGGACCCTGTGCTGGAGCAGGGGAAGGACTTCTGTCCTTGAGCAGTGGCAGAAACCACACGTGATGGACTGACCCATTCCTGTCTCAGATACCACATGTGATGTGCTGACCCGTTCCTGTCTCAGGAACCACACATGGTTCTGACCCATTCCTGTCTCCCTGTGTCACTGTGGGGAGGAAGTAGAGCTGGGAAAGAGGGAGGGGTGGGGGGGAGGGGTTTCTAAGATTTATTTCACTTGTCATTATCCTGCTCTGGTTTTCCCAGTAATAAATTCAGTTAATATCCCCAAGGTGAGTAAGTCTGTTCTGCTTGTGACAGTATTCAGTGAATGACCTTTCCTTATCTCAATTCAGGAACCTTTCACTGGATTTTCTCTCCTCTGTCCACTTTGTGCAAGGGATTGGTAAGAGTGGCTTTGGTGGGTGCCTGGCATCTAGCCAGGGCCAAACCACTACAGTGTGCAAATAAGTCTGTAATTAAATTGGCCTCAAGAACCTAAAAGAGGTTTAATTATGATTCATCTATTTCAGATGTGAAGATGGCTTGTCATATTAGCATGCCTTTGGTTCTCTTTCTAGGTAACAGGAATTTTGTTGTCCAATACCAAATACATTTTCACAATTTTTTTTATTAAAGTACAGTTCTGCTGGATTTTTTTATATTGCTTTCTAGGCCCAGATATTGATCACTTCATCTTTTGTTTTGTTGTATACATTAGTGGGAATCAATTTGTATATGAACATTTCTTCTGAAAGCTGCCCTTGAGGTTCAATATTGCCCTGTTTGCAGAGTTGCATTGGTTCTGATGCCTTCCTTTTCAATTCTGTTGAACATAATAGAAAATACCTGACAAGATAATGGTTTTGAGGAATTCATATTAAGTTCATATGCCTTTACTTTAAATTTTGTTCACCTAGAGTAATATTTCAGGTTTTTAAAATGCAGTTTACATTGTATATACCAAAAAGACCTAATTTCTCAAACTTACTAGTATCATCAAAAAATACAGACTACTATAAATGGCTTTATTTACATGATTTTAAAGGAAACAAGTTTGGCACTCTGTTGTTCTCATTCTCTGACAGATATGCCAACCAGAGTATCTGGTTATTAAAGAAAAAGGACTAGCAATCCAACTCTAAAATTATTACGATTTAATTAATACAGAATATTTCCAAATATATCAGTCTTCACATTCCAGCTGTATGTTTGAATTTATGCACTGGAAAAACTTGTAGAGCCTGCTAGAGATTGGAATTCTTTATCGCTTTAGAGCATTTAAAGCAGGAGTTTGACTATGCTGAGCTCTAAAAATTTGAATTCCACAAAACATTCTACATGTGTAACATGTGGAGAAGACAGAATGTCACAGTGCAGTGTCACAAACTAATGGTTTTCTATATTTCTTTATATGATTTCAACATATGAATTTATAGGAGTCACTGAATTTATTTTTTGAGACTTTTTTTTCTGTTGGCTCTTTGTGCCATTAACAGACTGTTAAAATGCTGGTTCCAGAATAAGGCCTACACAAAAATTAGTAAGGATTTGTGGCACACAGCTCTTGGAAAGGCTGGGGAAACATTCAGAGGTTTTCACTTCTTTGAATCTGGAGGTTGCTAACCTTGAGAATAAGAAGGGAGAAATGCCTGTGAGCCCCTTCTAAGGAGAGGGGAATGAATAAGGAAAATTGGAAAGATTACAGCTTCTTTCTGATGCTAGTTTGCAAACTGGTATGTGTTTGTGCTTTGGTGGAATCAGTTCTTTCTGAAGAACACAAATGTTTGCAACACTTACGTCTCAGTTCTTCACAAGGCACTTCTTGAGCTGTCAGCTTTTGCAAGAGAAGCCCTTATTTATGTACATATAGTTTTAAGTGCAAGCTCATTGACAGTAATTTTTAGATTGTTACCAAAATGCTAGATATTATAGATGAAAAAAAAAGGTGGGGGATCACTTAAAAATCACATTTGATTAAGAGAAAAAAGTCCTTATAGTGCAATCAGAAAATAGAGCTCTGGTATTACAAACCTGAAAGTAAAAATTATGTGTTGATTAGGGACATTATTTACCACCATAAAGCTAGAGGTGACAC